TAATTGGCCAAACAGCCTTATTTGCTGTACTGAAATATATAAATAATTTTTACAATAACGATATGTTTTTTTTAATTGACCTGAGATATTAATTTATACAATTTCGTGATATACAATTGCACAACGGCTTATTAGAATGACGTCAATGAAAAGTGATTAGTTCGCTAGATTAGTGAAATGTAACGCGTGTAGTGCTAACACTACATCTAATGTGCGTTTGGCATTACTAGCAATAATTTTTCATATGAAACATTTATAATCTATATTAAAGTAGATTATCTCACGTATACGAAATTATTTAAATATCTTATCATTCGTTTACATATTTCTAGTCTGTAAGAACGTATACGCTTAAAAAATAAAGTAAGCGGTTAGGAAAGTGTATATATTAAGTATTTTTGTTTGTGCTATACAATAAACCAATGAACACATTATAATGATTGTTACACATAGATTTAAGTTTACAGATAAAATAGTAATCGGAATTTAAAGATCGGTATTTGAATATTTAAGAAAGGCCAAATAAATTACAAAAGAATATCAGTAAGTATTCCAACCCATACAGTCAGTTCAAAGTTAATAATTTGTCATTGTTAATACATACTAAAAACAATGGGGACGTGAGACCTTAGAACATTTTGTCTGTTCTATAAAAAAAACTGCTAATGGACAATAATCACAACCACAGATCAAAGCTGTAAAGATTGTCTGTCTTAATAAGCTATAAAGTTCGAAAAACATGAGTTTTTAAGAAATATTTGAATATCTCGTGATATCAAGCAATGACCTAATTAATTACCTAAATATGCAATATACAAGAACTGTTACAGAATTCTGTCCAAAGATATAAGGTAATAAATTCAAAATAGAATTAAAGACCAAATTTTACTATCATTTCAGGTATATCCATGGGTCCCGGGTTCGATCCCCGGCTGAGACGAACATCGATGTGATGAGCCTTTGGTGTTGTGCTTAGGTCTTGGGTGTTTAAATATGTATTTATATGTCTATCAATCTATAAAATGTATGTATATCCGTTGCCTAGTACCCATAACACAAGCTTCACCAACTTGGCATGGGCACCAACTTTGTTTGTTTGGATGAACGTACGAGGTTCGAATTAAAAAGTTATTGATAGTCAATTTTTCGAGGTATTTTAAGATTACGCATCAATAGGAACTGAGAATGAATGAATGGAAAATATGAAAAATCATTGGTCTTTAGCCGACATCAAAGAACCCGAAGAAGGTTTTGAAGGCGGCTAAGTATATACGTAGTTGGTCCCAAAGTTCCGTCACTAGCACATTATTTCTACATTTCGAGCAGGATTTTATAAAAAAATTATTGCATTCTATTTTGGAATGTTTGATTATTGTTTTAAAACAAAAACAATAACTTTCCGTAATTTTTCACGATGGAGTGGACATTGAAAGTAAACCGAATAGTTGTTATTGCGTTGCACCGCTGTGGACACTCGCCGAGTACCATTTTCAAGTTGCTCAAAAATTTGAATATAACGCTTAGGTTTGTGTACGGTACTATTGATAGGTACCTTGAAGTCTCCAGTGTTGAGGACAAGAAAAGGACTGGCTGGCCACGCTCCGCAAGAACACCAGCAGTAATCAAAGCTATCAAGGCGCGGATAGTAAGAAATCCTGTCCGAAAACAGAAGTTGATGGATTTGCAGATGGGTGTCAGTAGGAAAACAGTAAAAAAGGTTTTAAATGAAGATCTTGGTCTACGAGCATACAAAAAAGAGTGGGCACTTACTTAATGCTCGTCTAAAAGCAATAAGGCTTAAGAGATCGCGGGTGTTGTTTCAGCGGTACGCGAAAAACCGACACCGTGATATCCTCTTTACGGACGAAAAATTTTTCGATATTGAAGAGAAGTACAATAAACAGAATTATACAGTGTACGCTAAGAGTTCTGAAGAAGCTGAAAATAAAGTTCCAAGGGTGCAACATGGACATCATCCATCATCAGTAATGGTTTGGTTGGGAGTGTCCTATTACGGGCTAACTGAGGTTAATTTTTTCGAAAAGGGGGTCAAAACCAGTGCTACAGTGTACCAAGAGACGGTTTTGTATCGCCTTGTCAAAGACATGTCCAGCACCCTATTTGCGGGACATCACTTCGTGTTCCAGCAGGACTCTGCGTCTGCATACAAAGCCAAGACCACTAAAGCCTGGTTTGAGCGTCAAAACATCGTCTTAATTAGACATGAGGATTGGCCTTCCTCCAGTCCGGACCTTAATCCTTTGGACCAAAAATTATGACAGGGCTTAGAGAGGAAGGTCTGTGATAAACCTCATGAAAATTTGGAGAATCTGAAGTCATCTTTAAAAAACCAGTGACTAAAATGGACACGAATATGGTGCGTGCTGCGATAGACGACTGGCCGCGACGCTTAAGGGCCTGTATTAAAAATGAGGGAGGTTATTTCGAATATTTTTATGCTTTTTTTATTCCTTAATTAATTTACTAAGAATTGATATATCACTCATTACAAACTGATCAGTACTTTTGTTTTTATCATTATTTCCATTTATGACAGAACTTTGGGACCGACTACGTATAACATAATTATATATGTATAAGTTTAATGTAAAATATAAGTCGGTTTACAATTCGATGTTTAACTTTTTTCACAGCTTTCTTTGCGTGGGCTGCGTAAACGGGGAAAGTTACGCAAGAAATATTATGTATAAACGAACTTACTTTAAAAAAATCCAAGACTTATTTCAAGGTTGTTTTAAAATATGTAATACATTACTTTCAAAGTTGTTTTCATAAACGTATTATTTATTATTCAGACTACGATGTTAATTACCTACAATAATTTTAAATAAAATTGCTCTTGAGACTTGACTGCGTTCGATTTAAATAAATATCCTAAGTATATACTTTCAAAATAACTCCATAACAATACTGAATATCTACCTAATGATCAAGTATAACGTTTAATTAACGGAAGGGATACTGCGGGGAACACCTAGTAGGTATTTTTTTCAAACACGGGGCAAACGTGCAGGAGGCTCATCTGATGTTAAGTGATACCGCCGCCCAAGGACACTCAATACCAGAGGGCTCGCGAGTGCGATGATGGCCTTTAAAATAAAATTTTATAAATAGCGGAACTTATTATGTTATGGAACTTACACATAAATTATGTAGTGTTATGTCTGTAGATACCCAAGGTTACAGGCGGAGCCCTAGGGGTCGGATACAGTTCAGGTAGCTAGGATGATTTCAAAGCTATCAGGATCTATCAGGCTCAACCACGATTTGGGGTTTAAAGAGTCTTTATTATTTTTAAATATGAATGATTAATTAAATTTAATTCTACGCCATATAATAATGCTCATCGTGATTCGTGGTTATAATATGTATAATGAATAAATAACGAAATTAGTTTTCAAAATTAGCAATTCAAATCAGTAATTTTTTATTAAAGGCATTAAGATAATATATGATAAACTACATCCTAAAGTTTTGATTAATAAAACTAATAGCAGAGAATTATTTTAATAATCATTTCAGGTCTCATCCTGTCATCTCATATTAAAAATCAAAGGAAACAAAAATAAACTAGGAAATGTTACATTTTACATTCACTTTGATTTTCTGTCAAATATCAAACATATTCGCTACTTCCGACTATTAAAATTATGATCACATCTTATCTCGATGGCTCTTATTAAAGCGTAGTAAGGTATATAAATGTGTGTCATTTTATGTGATAGAGGTGGTCGGTGCTATCAAAGGGCCCACACACGGCGCGCGGATTTCCGTAACTTGTACGAGAGTGGATTATTGATTATAATAAAGCGTGTTTTAGTCATAGAAAGTATTTTTTGTCACTTTTGTAAAGGAGGAAGGGCGCTGTTTATGTTTTTGTTATTCATTTATTACACTTATTGTACGTGATAAAGCTGAAGAGGTTTGGTAGAACGCTTAGTTCTGAATCTAATTCAATTAATTAACTTGAATTTTCTTAAGTTGGAAAGTCCATATTGAGGAAGGCTAATTTAACCCGCGTCATGCGGGGAAAACCCATAGCACTGCTAATTCTATTGCAACATTTTTGTCTTTGCCTTATTGTTAAGATTGTATGACTCTAGACATACCTACCTCAGGAGTTCGAGGAACATCGGACCTTTACTTTTAAACTTCACATATTGTTCACTCAAAATTTTACACTTTTAGAACAACCAAATTTCGCAAACAAAATAGTTAAACTGTGCGAAAGTATGTTAGCGTAAAAACAATTTCGCCTGTACTGTATATAGGAGATATTCCTCGCTAACACACTGACAAACGATTCGTAGCAATTTATTATAACTAGGGTTGACGAAAGTTCACTAGCAATACATGAATACTAATTTCGATTAATGTTAGGACACGAAAAAGCGGTAGTCTGCTTCTGTGACGTGAGTTGTCATAAATTTGACATATTTAGAGAGACTTTAATCTACTAATTGAGTAACTTCTCGTGAAATACATGTTGATAACAATGATCAGTAACACAAAAACGAAATTATTATTTTTTGTATGTATATTTTAAAACGGGTGATTGTTTTACCGATGAATTTTGACAGCCCTATAGCGATTCCAATAAAAATCAATCAGTGCATGGACCGAACGCTAGTTGACCAAATGTTCAGTTTGGAACAAAATATCGACGATAGTACAATATTTTTTATTATAATTTTTTATCAAATTAGTATAACAATATACTTGACACCAGTTTTCTGGTATAACAGTTCTGAAGAACCACTTCTTATGTGCCAACAGCACAAAAATAGTATTCCCGCAATTCTAGAATCTTAAGTACCGTCCAAAAATAAATTTAACCAAGTTAAATTGAATCAAACATATCGTTTGTTACAGGAAGTACACCACTTCAAAGAAGATCAAACGAGCCGTCAATCCAGAGTTATTAAATGATTCAATCATAAAAACAAACATGCAAGATTCAACTAAACATTGAGACACAGATGTGCGACACACAAGATTCAGTAGAACACATACAAAACACAACGGAAATGCAAACAGTCCTGTCAAATTGTATGCCGGATATTGGGAATGTAGACTCCAATGATACATATGCAGAGTACGCAGATATATGTGGTTCAGAGGGTAAAATCAACGTTGATGATGATAAAGATATAGAAATTGATGTTACAGAAACAATAGACGATCAGAAAACAGAAAATAAAAAACAAGAGTCTTACGAAAGTAGGGATCCATTTGACTCGTGGCATCCACACGTTTATGGAAAACCTCCGAAGATGCCGACACCGCACACGATAGAATTCATTCTTGGGTTGAATAAGGATTCTAAGAAGACTGTTAGTTCATTAATGAGTGTCAAAAGGTTCGGTCATGAGAGGGACAATAAGTTAGTGCAGAATAGACTGCAAGAACAGTTGCTACAGCGGAGTAGGAATAGTGATAGTGCCAGTGTTAAGGAAGAACCGTTAAACTTGTCCGTGCCTAAGACTTGGTGTGAAGAAGAGAAGTTCAGTAGAGGTAAGTTGTTTTTAAACCTTTAACTGTCCGGTTCCCTCAATCATGGGGTACAATACAATTTTTTTCATTATTAGTATACATGTATATGTGTATATCTTCAACATATTTATTTATTTTATACAATATGTTCAAATTACCGTTTTAAGACACGTTAACGTTATTATAGCTTTCTTTGTTAAAAATATATTATTTCTAATATCTTATAAAAACGTGTACACGCGTTAGAAGTTATACTTCTTTGGCGTGTACACGTTTATATAAGTTTTAAGTTTATAAAAGTCTTTTCTAAATTTTTATTCTACGTTTGTAGAAAAAGCGACACTAACAATAGAAAAAAACTAAAATGTTGACTGTAGCTAACTTCAGGGTGTCGCTTTTTTGTGACGGTGTGCGCAAAAATTTACGCTCATCATTTTTCCCTAACGCGCCAAAAGAAGTATAACTTCAAAACTAATTATAAAAAATAGCATTAACATGAGTAGGTACCTATTTCTGTACAGTTGAAACAAACAAAATTTATTTCAATAACCGCAGAAAACTGCTGAATTGAATTAGTCTCCTCATTATCTAATCAACATAATTTAGAAAATCTAGGCCGATTAATATACATGAATAACTTATAAATAAATCATGTATTTCCAATGAATTGATCAAAGATAAACAATAACATTAATGTGGTCGGAATCGACTCATCTATTCGAGTAGGTAATCGTTTGAAGTCGATCGATTAATCGAACAGACTAATGGGTCATCGATTGAACCGGACGGCTTAAACGATGTCGGGCTCCGGGCAAAGTGTAAATACTATAATCGGCTTATAAGGGTAACAGTAGATAGAACTAGCTTAACATTTAATTAATAGTAATAATATACTTACGCAATTTTGACTTTACGGTATTGATTACGAATACAGAACCGTCTTAAGGGCCTTCAATAGAAGAGCCTATCTTAAAGGCCGGTAATATACTTAAAAACCTCCTGGTGTTGTGGGTGTCCATGGGTCCTGCTCGTTTGCCTCCTGTCCCATAAAAAATAATTGGTAAAAACATAATTCTTCAACTGTTTCTTAAGGACTTCTAAGGTCGCTTGTTATCTCGTTTAATAATAGAGATATATTTATACTCCAAGACCAAGAGTAGGTATGTTTATAGTTTATATGTGAAGTGATATTTACGTTAATGGCCAGCCGTTAATAAATAAGCAACCATGAAAATACACTGAAACAAAAAATGTGGTAACTGGTAATCGATTCCCACCCACAAAGAAAAACAAACAATATTTCTAAGAACATATTAGTTGGACCGAACATTACAGAATCATTTAGTATTGGTACAAACTCTCTAATGAAATAGAATACTCTATAGGCTATGTCATTTGAAGTAAATCTTTTAATTATGATATCATAAATGCTGATACAAAGTTGAATCTTATAACTTTGTTTTTAAAAAGATTGATTCAATAACCAATCACGAGACTTATGCCGTTTTTGTTCCAACAAGTATTAACCGTCCAAGTTGTAAATCAAAGTCAATTAGTGGAAAGTGTTCAGGGCTATGCGTTCATATTTTTAGTCGCGTATTAATAGTCGTTAAATGCAACGCTTTTGTTCGTTTATGCGCCGCAATTAGTGCAATTAAGATAGATACAATTATTTTTTACTTTTCAAAATTGTATTTAAATTTATATTTCTTACTTAAAATGATGTATGGTTAGCCTAAGCCTACAAGTTTAATAGTAAAATTAAGAAAAAAAAATTTCGTTAAACTATTTTTAATTTTGTGAAACTGACATTGCCTTCTACTACTCAAATATTTTAGAAACTCAATGGAGGAGCCTTTAATTAAACAAATGTATAAATGTATGCATTTAATCAACCTATTCTAGAATACTTTTGTTGTAGAATTCTATTATAGAATTGCAGTCGTTTAATGTAACTTTATGAATAGTTTGAACGACGTAACAAAATGTACTTTAATAAAACATTACATATAAGCTTTAAAGTCCATTTGATTTGCAAAACATAATGTGGCGAAAATAGCTTCATTCTAATCTCAAGTCTTTGGCTTGCATTTATTGTGGCGTTTTAATCGAGAGCCATTTTGCACAACTTTATAAATACATCGGCTAAGCAACATTGATTTCTAACCCACTCAAAATAGAGTCTGCATTGACAAATTCGAATGCAATATAGATGTTGGTAAAATTAAATTCGAATGTCCGAGCAATAAGCTATCAAGCGATGCAGCTGCGTCGTCGGGGTTGCCAATTTATTTTTAAATATTTAATACAGATAATAAATATGACTGGATTATTATTAGTCTATGGTTTAACTTGGGTATTAGCTCGTCAATGGAGATAGTATGTGACACTTGACATAGATAAATCCTTTCCTATACCACAGATTATATTATGATTTATGGAGCTAAATATGAAGACGTTCTTCGTTTGTTCTATGTATTATTGTAGATGAAATGATAACAATTTTTTTATGAAAGCATAAATTCATTTTATAAAGTCTGTTTTTTATAAATTAATATTTTTAAAGTTATACTTCTTTAGGCGCGTTATGAAAAATTGATGAGAGTGAAATTTTACGATGTACCGTGACACAAAATTAACAGAATGAAGTTGCCCACGGAAGATGCTACGGCATTGGACATAATTTAAAAACAACATTCGAATAATAATAGAATTTATGTTACAATTAATGTAAGAGAATAATAATAAATGTTTATTTATTTAATTTTTCAAATGTAAACTGACTTTATTGACTATAATGACTCCTTTTCCAGTCTTTGATTATTTAAGTCTTTGATTATTTTATTGTAATTAATTATTTGCATGCAATCTTAAACTATTTTTAATAATGCCAAAGAAGTATAACTTCTTATACTTCTTACGCGCGTACATAAGTACACGCACCCTTTTTTATTTTAAAATACCGTCGTCGCACCAATATAATTGATGGTCCCAATAGTATACAACATATTTTCTATTTATATCTTTATTATCGTCTAAATACTTTATACATATATATATATATATATATATATATATATATATATATATATATATATATATATATATATTAACGCAAAAGAAGATTTAGGAACTATTTTTCAACTATTATTCTACGATAAGCACATGCTAAATCTAAGCCAAAGTGGTGTTATCCCTCGAGTGCCAAAACCAATGGAATCTTCTCTTTATTTGCACAATTAACACTTGGCCGTACGGCGAAGTAATACATCGTCAAATCACTTAGGGTGAGATCTATAGTGCGCACTTGGACTTTGCTCAGACTTACCTTACGAAAAACTTTGCTTAGTGTACACTAAGGTTAAACTATGATTTCGTATTTATAGACATTTTAACGGTGAGATTAAGCTAAGCCCAAGCTAAGACAGAAAATGTCAAAATACAAATTGATGTTTCATTTCATGCAATACTTTGTTTATTATCCTTTAAAAAAGTTAACAATAACAAATATTTAAAAATCTAAAACGGTACACATATATCTTCAATTTATTGTTATTTATGTATTCATTTATTTTATTATTGCAATAACTAGAAATTCACGAGTAACCTTTAGAAAATGTATTAATTATTTAAAGATGACAATAATTTTATTACGTAGAACGGATCGCAATGTTTTGGTTAGGTTATAGTTTGAATTTCGTTGTCACTATAATAAGCCAATTGCCAGGGCTGCCAGGTGACATACAAAATCACACCAGTTATTTTTAAGATTTCTCAAAAATGGGGTTTGAACAATTACATAAATAATATAAATAAACAACAATAAATACCATAATAATGTGTAATTATTTTATTTCATGCATTTCATAGGTATTTATCAAGATCATTTATAATTTCTTTGAATTCAAATTCTATTTTTCCCAAAGTCTATGGAACTCCGATACAAAATGGCAACACCGTTCATTAAAAACCGACAAAAATAAAAAAGTCCAGTAAAAGATATGATGGTAAAGCAAATTTTGGGCCATTATTTTTGTTAGGCTTATAGTCAAAGTTTTTGGTAAGTCGTCGATTTCGTGGACTTGAGATTAAGCTAAGCCAACACTAGGGAGAGATTCGTAGTTTGCTCTATAAATACCGACTGTGTCTTAGCTCGATAGTTAAGTCAGAGCAAAGTCTAAGTGCGCACTATAGATCTCACCCTTAGACTTCAAAACCGCCGGGTGTCATCAACAGAACAGCAAAATATGTTTCAACTTTTATAGCTAATACATATTATACTATAAACTAGCTTTCGCCTACACTGCAAAACCGGTAGATGTCTTAAGATATATCTATGTATATGCAGATTTGCGTCTAACATTAGCTCTAAATACGACGTAATAAATATTTAATGTAATTGTCTCGATTCTGAAACCCTTAGTTTGAAAGGAGATATCTAATTAATGAAAAGTCCAGTCTTTTTGTGTACTAAATGTATCTTCCATTATTACATATTAATGTAGATGTTTCATTTATCAGTTCGCTGTTAAAAATTGAACTATACCTAAGTGCGAATGTCACTCCAAATAAATTTCGAAGCGAAACAAGCGAAAGGATGAAGCGCTGGCGAGAATATAAATTTGCTATAATTATTTGAGAGAGAGTTTCACGAATATTTTTTGTCTTGGAATATTAAATTGTAAAAACGATATAAGCCTTATCTATAAAGCTATCAGCACATCTAGAGGACTACTAGAAGAATATTGTTTGCTCAGTTCTGATTCTGGCTAATAATATCTTTTTAATGTAGCTCCGCTATCGCTCCTCACCGAACACATATAAAGTCTATATTTGCGGACACTTAAGCTTCCTCCGATCGCTTTAATCTTCTACACTCCACACTACTTAGATAAATCACTTGTCTAGATTACCAGTTTGCGAATAAGTGCACTATACAGAAGCTCCAAATAGAAATCGACACAACGATTTTGTATTCTTCAGTGAAAGCATGGTAAAGGACCACTGTTGTTTACAATTAG